GCCGTAATTAAGACCCAAAGGAGTAAAAACATACCCTCTCTTGCCCCGGTGGGAAATACAGGGGAAAAAGCAAAGACAGAACATATACGTTACTGGATTCTGGGACTTGTTCACTTGAGGCTCATCTCGGAGATGCGTTGCTTCTAAAAGAAATTTAAGAGCGCTGAAACTAAATCCATCGATTCCTTTGCCGAGCCAAAATTTGATAATATCCTAGACAAAGGTAAAAGTTGAGAATTCCAAGTGAGCCCATCCTGTTCAAATGAGTACATACTTAAAAAGAAAACTAAACCTGTTAGTAGGTATTAATATGTAACAATTTATTTTTTAATTTGTATTTCAAATTTTACTAGAAGTTAAAGGGAATCCTGTCGATATAAGGTCAAACTAAGATCTAAATAGAGCATGTCTTATTATTTCATCCAGTATAGAAAAGAAAAAGACTGGTCTTTTTACTTCTCCCGTAATTCAGGAGACCAAAACCAGGGCATGCCTCACTGAAAGTTTCTAATCTCATCCATCAAAACAATTGGGCTCGTGCTAAGCGCTGTTGTTGGTGAACACCCATCATGGCTGCACACAATTGGAACACGCTGATTCAAATATGCACGAATATGTTGTTCCGCACAGACCTTGCGCCACCAATTTTCTTTTTATACAACAGAGCTCTTAAAATAGGACAAATGTTTTATTTGAATGATGTGATTTTTTTTATTTTATTTTCAGGCTTATTTGTTGATTTGGCAGGAACATGAAAAATTATTATCCAAGTTAACTGCTATCGACTTACAATTCCACTATCAAATTCAGAGGTTAGTCACTATTAGTAAAATTATATCCTACTTCAGTAGCTATTATATTACTACAGTTTTAATTGCTCTAGTTTTAACAAACAGCTCTAAAGTTCAGTCCTTCTTGAGTGTTTTCTGCAAATGTTCTGTTAGACCAGATGCTTTTCTTCACCTGAGGACAAAAACTTTTTTTTTTTTAAAGACAGCTATTGAATTACCTTTTTTTGAATGTATGAAGTACCCTTGCCTGAATAGGCTGGAGTAGAACTAGTCCACACTCAAGCTTTACAGATTTTTTTTGTTTGGCAAATAAGGACTCCACCTCACCAAGTTGTACTTTCTCGTAGAGCCATTCTGAAAGCAGCAGCTCTCGATACGGTGTCTGCCCAATATTGACTCCACCAGAAATTAATTTGTGTTTATGCACGTGCTCATGACAAAAGCAACACCAAGTATCAGCAGTGCAAATATCAAGGATTGACGTGCTAGTCGCTGAGACCAATCTATTTTTACTTTTGCAAGAAAGCTACAGCACAGTGGCTGCTAAGTTTCATTGCTCCCACATACCCTTTGGCTAAACCAAAGGCTTGGGAGCTTCTTTGGAAGAGTAAGTTTGCTTTCTGCGCAGTCCCACAGCCCTAACCTTCTGAAACAGGATTTTGACTTGAAATAGTAGACAAAGATTATTCTTGAACATGCTGGAGCAACTAATGGTGTTCATAAGCATTTACCAAAGGTTGGTGTTATCAGGCCAAACTTAGTAGTTCTCATTTCATTTCCTTGCATAGGAAACGCAGCATCTATTTGCTACCAGAGCTTCAGTAACGTATCAGGTACCATTCAAAAAAAATCAGCCAGGACCATTGAAAAGTATGTGTGATGCTAGGAAAAAAGTGTGAGTGGAAAGACGTGGCGTTAAGGGAAGTACCAAGATGTAGAGAGGTTACTAGTGGAGTTCTTCAAGGATCAGTCTCGAGAGCAGTCTCATTTCATGCTTTACTTAACAAGTATGACCAAAAGTGTTTTGTTTCTTCATGCACATGCAGTACCCGCGGTGAGGGGAGAGGCCCCAGAGAGACAGTGAGACGATCACAGTAGAACTGGGCAGCTGTGAAGACTACCGCCAAAGAAATGCACCAAAATTCAACAATACAAAGCAACAAACACTTGACTGAATTGAAACACTTGAGGTAGCTCTACCACCTGATGGGGTATAACTTAAAGAAAAAAAAAAGAAAAAAGCAGCAACTGTCAGACTCCCCATGTTCAGGCCCATTTCCCCATATTTTAATGAATTCTACATTGTCTGCTGGGAGACACGATGCAGACAGGCACGAGGTTTCATCAGAGCACCGCCTTGCCTGGGTGAAGCACTCTCGCTGTGAGGGCTGTCCATCTCTCTCCCCCATGAAGTCATCAGAGATGTAGACAGATCGAAACTCACCATCTCCCCCTTATCCACAAGCCCAGGCATTCCTTGTAATTCAAATCAGCATTGCCTCACTTCCTTGAAAATGCAAACATCCCTCTGCTAAAACAAGGTGCCATCCCCACATGACCGGCTAATTAACAGCTCCTTGTAACAACAGAGATAAAAACTTCTCTCCACTTGAGTGTTTCAGCTCAGTTTCAGCACAAGCTTCAGTGCAAGAGCCACTTTACCTTCCAGTCAATCCTTCCATTAATTGTCGTCCTTGATAGAACATCCAAAGGCACTAAGTGCCTTCATCCTTGGCTCCTGAGGGAGACTGCAGCTGATAGCAGTTAACTGCTTCCAGACAGCAGTCACGTTGGACTATTTGACTACTAGCACCAACTTCAAAGCAAGTAACAGCAGTCTTAGAACACAGAGAGAGAATTACCTATGCCACTGTACAAGATTCTGCCTAGACGGCTTTTCTGTTAAATTTGTTTAATTCTGGCCATCTGCATTTGAGAAAATCCCTCAGGCTGGAAGCGCTGCGAGGAATAAGCAGCAGCTCAGCAGAAGGATGGAGGGTCTCTCACTTCAGGGAAGACTGGAAAAGCCCACCCCATTTAATCTAGCTTAACAAAAGCTGAAGGGGGATGTTATCAGAGCTGAAAAACAAATAAGCATAAACAAGGGTGGGAAAAGTTACTTCAGCTGAAGGACAGGTTTGGTTCATAGAGAGCTAAGTATGAACAGCTTGCAAATAAGGTTAGGCTGAAAAGTAGAGAGGTCCTGAAGCATCAAAGCAATTTTAAGATAGCCTTTAGTGGGAAGAGAAAGGGAAAGGGAGCTCCTTGTAAAGTGCTATAGCCAGTTCCAAAAACCCAGCAAGATCTTGCAAGCAAGATCTTGTGAGAGCAGGGGACTTAAGCCAGCAAAAAAAAAAAAAGAAAAAAATCAATAGTCATACCTTCTTAAAATCCAGAGGACTGCAACACCACCCACTGCCAGTACTTCCACTCAAGGACAATTTTATTTGGATTTTTTTTTTTTTTGGTTGCTTGTTTGCTTTCAAATTTTTTTAAAAAGACTTGGAGCGAAGTAGCTCCAATACTGGACACATTACAGCATAAAGCTTGAATTTTGCTTATAAACTTAGTCTAGACACCTTTTTGTTTCAGTTGTTTACATATGCTGCAATCCTTGAATTACTTTCAACTAGATGTAAATTGTGTAGCACAAATAATCAGAGAAATTAAGTGCAGAAATAGCTGCTTTGCTGTTGGCGCAGCAGCAGCAGGTTACATACTTACATGGATTTCTTGTTGGACAGCAAGGTTGCGAAAATTTAAGTCTGGCTGGTCTTTCCCAAACTGATGAAAATAACACTGCTTTCTCACATCATCAAACTGCCAGCTGGAGTTCCCAAAGACACTCACCTGCTCATATACAGGAGGGGGGAAATAATCAGAACTCTTCAATTAACGAACATTTACTCCTATGCATACTTTAAGATGTGGTGCATTACAAGCATATAATAAAGCACAAAATGCCTAACCGACGGACTAAATTCTGAGTAATTTTGGTCCTTATGTTTTACATTTCCTTCTGCCAGTTGCTCTCCCTTTAGTCATGCTTTGCCACATGTATTTCTTGTTCAGTGTTCTGTTTCATTCTTCTTTTGTTTTTTTAAGTAGACTTTCACTGGGAATTATTCAGAAAAGAGGGGAAAACATGGGTGGGAACATTTCTTTTGGAATTGTTTTTCCTAAAACTTAGTAAAAATAGCTTTAGTTAACTTAGAGCTTTCTGCAATCTGGTATTATCCCTTTGAAGCACCAACAACAGTCAGCATGTTAAAATGTTAACTTTATCACCTCTGTAATAAAAGATCCCAAAAGCTAAGATAGCTCTTCAGACTAAGTTTAAAGAGAAATGACACTAGCCAGCACAAAAGATTAATTCCACCTTGAGTTTTTAGAATATACATGTTCCTAATCACACACCCATCAAGTTCAAATTTCAAATAAATATATTTGAAATAGGTGACCCACTTTCTGGCGTGATCGCCTTCCAGAAAAAGGAAAAAACCCAGGAACACACTGTTTTGTTTCCCTCCCCACCAACTATGATTTCAGAGGAGCCAAGATGAAGTTTCTAGAGCAGAGTCCCCAGACACCAAAGGGGGCGAGTGAGAACAACTTGTGAACAGCTTGTGCACAACTATCCCTGGTTTTGTTTGTTTAACGACTGAAGGTTTAACACTGAGGGAAAGAAACAAAAGTCATTTTTTAAATTCTATCTGAAGTAGGAACCCCTCCACCCTGAGCTGGTTTAAATCTGGATCTGCACTAGCTCGTCTAGTAACATCAGTTTGTACCTCTGAACAGGCATTTATAACCCAGTGTACATTGGGACAATCATGCTACGGCTGCTTTTGCTATGTGGCAACGTGCATCCAGCTTGGGATTTGCACTTGTCCCTTCCCGTGTTTACCCAGTTATTTGGAGGAGTGACCAAACCAGCAGCCTGCGTGCAGTCCTGCCAGATGTAGTAGTCCGTGTACTTCCCGGTCCGATTGCGACTCAACTGAAACCATCGGTGTTTGTCACTTGTGTGGTTTGGTATTAAATCCATTATCACCTTTAACCCTTACAAAAAAAAAAATCAAACCATAAAAAAAAATATGAAATTCAACCTTTTAAGACAAAGCTCACATTTTTTCTTAATGCAGTATTGGAAGTGTTTGGGCTTCTTCCTTCCCAGAGGCCTGGCAAAAGAGAAAGGCTCCTGCTGGAAGGGTTTAGGCTCGAGGGACTGGTGAGCGCATTACATTTTGAGCCGGCACAGCCCTGCTGGCTGCTGAAACGGGAACGCACAAGCACAAACAGAAAGCCCCAGACTACTGATGCAGTTAGTCTAATGAGAGTCTGCAGGTAGCTGCTACACATCTTGCTGGTGCTGTTCCCCCCTGCCCATTGCTGGGAAGGGAAAGGAGGGGGAAGAAAAATCAGAACCGATCTCTGCTGTTATGAACCACTTCCACCAACTCTGACTTCAACATCTGTCTCCCACCTCCCAGGTGGGAGAGCCACTTCACCAGTCTAGCATCAGCGAACACACATTCTTCCTCACCCTTCTTAAAGGCTAGACATTTTTTGAAATCCCAAATGTTTTTGGGACTGGCAAACCATCTTCCATTCAGCCCAACAGCTGTAAGGGGAAACACCTGAGCAAACATTTGGTCTAAGGAATAAATGCACCAACCGAGGATGCAACCGTAGGAAGGAAGCGTATGTTCCCTCCCAACCCCGTACTTGTTTTCCTGCTTTCTCCAGAAAGCTGCCATCAGTCATAAAATTCAAAGTCGGAAGCAACTGCATCTCAGCCTCGATCCCGTTGGACTACTGATGCCCACACCCACGTGCACCAGGGAGCACGGACAGTATGTCAGCCCTACCACCCACAAACACCCTTGGAGGGGACCATGCCTTGCAGAGGATGTCCCGCAGCCTGGCGCTGCTGTCGTAACTCCCCGCGCCTTCAGTCCTGCTCCCAGCACCACCCCAGCGCCCAAGGGCAGGAGATGGCCATCGCAGAGCTCGCGTTGCTGTGGAGCTAACGCGTACCCTTCACTGGCACCCCCATCTGCTTCTGCTCAATGCCACCATGGGGGAATTGCCAGACGCACAAATTGAAATCTCAGATCATAACCTAGCACTACAAAGTACACCTGTATAATATGAATGAACGTCTTTTTAGTAGAGTTATTTTGCTTGGAGTTTTTGCAGCTTACCTCTATCATGTATGGCTGCAAGCAGGTTCTCAAAATCGCTCATTGATCCAAACATGGGATCAATATCATAGAAGTCTTCAGCTCCATATCCAAGGTCTTTTAAGGGTGACTTATAGAAAGAGGTGATCCAGATGGTTTTTATATTCAAATACGTGATATGGTCCAGTTTTTCTTGGATACCTGTTTAAAAGAAAAGGGTGTCATCTGTTTAGAAAAGACGAAATATTTCTGTTGAAGTATGTTTGCCGTGGGCTCTCAAAGGTGGTACACAGGTCCCCGGGGTACATAACCATCCTCTGTTTCCACTGATCTCAGGTAGCAGGGCAATCTTGATGTTTCTTCAGGGATAGCATAAAATCGCAGAACGGAAGCCATTCAAAGCCACTTTTACAAGGAAGATAAAGCAGGAATTAAAAAAAAAAAAAATCAGACCAAAGCAAATTTCTACTCTGTATTATAAAAGGATTTACAATTTCATTTAATAAATTTAACACTCACTTCTGAAAACAAACTCCTATATTTTCTTAAAATGCTGCAACAGCATTGCTTCCCCATTTCAAGAAACATCAATTAATCTTCAGACCACCCAGAGGGAAGCACAATTTTGATGCAAACATCCGAGGTTTTCCCTGCCATTAGGAAAAGTCTCTTATGGTTTTTTTTCTGGTTGTTTTTTGTTTGTTCGTTTTAGGACCCCTTACTCCAGTCTCCCCTAGTTGTTTTGGTTTGTTTTTTTTTTTTAAACCCAAATCTCTTCTATCTTCCTGACATGTTACTACTGGCATGCAACTATACAAACAGTTTCTTCTCTTCTCTTGCTGGTAGAGTATATTATAGCTAGTGCTTCTTGTTTAGAAATTTATTGTCTGTTACAGTGTTGAGCCTTCCCCTTCTGAAACTTAGCCTCAGCTAAGCTACTGATAAGTGGCATTGCCTCTTAGTACCAGGTACTCCTTCTCAATGCACTCCTGAGAGCTCAAAACCACCCAGACCATGAACAAGAAGTAACACATCTTTCTCTCCTCTTTCATAGTTTTATTTTTCTCACTTTTCCTTAAGGAACAGCAGCCAACCTAATATGACAAAGTGCTCAGCACCACCCATCCTCCTGATTGACCTCAGTTTTGTGGAGATATTTTACTCTGATAGCAGCTGTGCTGCCACTCGCTCGCTCTCAGCCCCACCTCTAAACAGCTGTTCTAACTCCGGGCTTAGATTTAACAACTTGAGCAAGAAGCTCCTAGATCTATTAAAGACAACATGAATTGCCATTAATGGTTAGTCAGACAACTTTTATTCCTCTCTCCAGTAGGGTGGCTTTCTCTATCGGGAAATTTCTCTATCTATATTTTTTTTAAGTATATATGCACATGTATATACACACACACCAACTACTTCTACACGGCTTTGCACATACCAAGAATGGAAATTCACCCACCTTTCAGATCCCCGTTCCCATCCATGTTGCTGTCCTTGAAGGAACGAGGATAGATCTGATAAATAGGACTGGCCTGCCACCAATCGAGGCACTTTGGAGAGAGAGCAATAATCGCAATCGTAGCGCACACAAGGACGATGGCAGCGGTGATTATGAGCCAGAAGAGAATCTCCCTGGTGACTCTGTACCGGGCTTGGCTGGAGAACTTCAGCAAGACTTCCTTTGGCATCCCCGCATAGGGCTTCAACGCCAGCTCCTCCGTAGCCGCTGGGTCCACACCAACAATGCACATTTTTGGCATTTCTTCTCGGCTACTGGTATTGGTCTCCTTGTCATCAAAAGCCTCATTTTGAACAAATCCGTTGTTCTCCACACCCCCCTTCTCACTCAGCTCCATAGGTAAGCTCTTAGCTTCCTCCTCGACCATTTTACTTCACGGGTTTTGTCCTGGAGACTTCGGCCACAGCAAGGAAGTGTGGAAGCAGGGAAGCCAACACACCTTTGTTCAGTGAAATGAGAAGCAGCGTAATTAGCATCTGGGTTTATAATCAATCCTGACCAACTGGGCAAAGTTCAAAAAGAGTCAAAAAGGGCAAAGTGCTCCTGCTCTTCAACATAATAGGCATCTTCAGCAAGATAACAAAATGCTACAAGAAAACAGAGTCTTCCAGGGAGGCAAGCCTATCGCTCGTATCAGCTGAGCAGAGTTACGTTTACTGTTGCTCTCCCCAGTACCTCAAACTTCTCTTCCTTTTGACAGCAGGGGAAAATTTGGGATTTTTACCAATAAAACATTTAGTAAATATGCAGCTTTCCAGACTGGTCATGGTCTCCCCTGCCTAAAGCAGTCTGAGCATTAATGAGTAATTTAAACATGGACAGCAAGAACGAGGTGTTGACAACTTCTGGCCCAAAAGCAACAATACAAACTAAGAAGAAAAGATACAAAGGCCAGTTGCGCTTCGTTTCTCACAGCTTAGAAAAACCCCCCCCCCCCCCCCCAACCTAACCCAACCCAG